AGAGAGAGAGAGAGAGAGAGAGAGAGAGAGGCCAAACAGGAATAGACTAAGAGGCAGCAAGGAAGAGCAAGAAGGAATAGCTTGAAAATTGGGAGAGATATGATAAATGTGTGTCCATGAATTTGTGCGAGAGAGAGAGCTCGCAGGAAAAAAGCAAGAAAGACAGAAGGATTTGATTAGAACATGGGAGATCGATGGTATATATGCATGTACCCATCAACTTGAATTGTAAAATTGGAATTGCTCAAAAGATATCATTGAGTGAGGCTGAAGAATTGTGGACCATGTGATTATTCCCTAATATACATCTCTCATTCATGGCCACAATTACCTTAGATGTATTTCTTATGACTTTCAGCACTACATACAGTGCACAATGTATCCCTTTCACCATTGATTCCAAAAACAAAATATACTTTTTAATTATGAAAAAATAAAAAATCAAGCATGTTAAGATTAAAAGCCACATCTTAATTTAGAGAAGCAAATCCATCTCCTTTATCGAATCACAACAATGAAGCTTCACATATTTTGTTCATATTCACATAACTAAGCTCAAAATATTTAAAAAAAAACAAAAACTACCCGATCTCTCTATTTTACCTAAAACACAACTGTGATGAATATACAAGCACCACGCTAAACATAGTAATGCAAATCAAGAATTTTTTTTTTCAAAATAAGATTTTTCATCTAACCCAACATGAAAAGTCAAAATCAAACACTAGGATTTTCTTACTTAGAGGGAGTTTAGGGATTTCTAGGGTTTGGAGAAACCCTAATTTATCTTGTTGTGGAGCTTGGAGGGCATTCACAAATACCCACTCCCTCTTCTTCTCTCTTGTGAAAGTTTCTGTGGCAGCCACAAGCTGCACATTTTAGGGCTTCACTTGTGCCTTCTTCACCACTAGCCATGAATTCTCTGCAACCATCTAGGGCATAGCCACCGATATTAGCGGCGTGGTTCTTCTGGCACTCTGCGTATCGAACGCACTTTCTTCGGGTGCACTGCCCAGAGCTCCGGACATGGGTTTCGTTCCTCCGAGAAGATGATTCCTGGCGCCTCATGGTGGGAAACCTACCTTGAGTTACTGGTTTGATCCTCTCAGTGAAGACTCTAAGGCCTTCGACTTCAATCGGTCTCACTCACTCTCTCTCTCACCGATTTTGGAGGAGAATGAAAAGGGATAGGAATGGTAAGGGGTTTCAGGATTTACCTTCAAATGAGGCCTCTCACTCTCCGGGAGTGTGTTCACACTTCACCCCTCACAACTTGGCTATGCAGCCCTATGGTTCTTATTTATGCATAACCGTATCTACAATTGGTATCTCTCTCTCTCTTATGGTTCTTATTTATGCATCACCATAACTACAATTGCTTTCTCTCTCCAATTCCTCGTGCATTTTTTGAAAATTTGTGCCTAAAAAAAATGACAAAATAAACGAAAATAAGAAAAGAAAATATTTGTAATCACTTAAGTTTACATCTCATTCGTTTAGACATCTCAATCTTTGCTAGAGATCGTTGATTTGCCCCTAACTATACCTAGAATAGAAATAGAAAAACCGGCATGTTCTACAAACCTCCCCCCTCTCTCTCTCTCTTGAAATAAAAAGACCCCTATGATTTGAATAAAAATTAAAAGACCCCTATGATTTTATGAGCTTCTCTCTCTCTCTCTCTCTCCAACAAAAATAGAAATTAAAAGACCCCTATGATCTAAAATGCTCGTCTCTCTCACTCTCTAAGAAGAAAAATTAAAAGAGGCGTATGATGTACACACCTCTCTCTCTCTAAAAACTCTCTAGAAAAAGAAATGGAAAATGGGGAGGAAGGAATTGACACTTCAACTGCCCTGAAGTGATGAAGGTGGGAGAAGAGTTTTATGAGGTTAATAGCTTCAAGTGAACTACCTTTTTATAATCTAATCGGATCGAATCTTCTCCGTTCCGTAGATTAAATTAAGGCATGATCCCACTTACAAGTTATTTTACTAAAAAGTTGGGGATGTTGGATTAGAGTAAGTGAGTGAAAACCGAAGCTAAAGGTGAAAGGCGGGCCCTTTGAAATGATACCAACAATGCTTGTCGACCCTCGCACGATTGCCACTCTAACGAGAGAGAGAGAGAGAAAAAGAGGAGCCTTGGTTTGTTTGGCTAGAGAGAG